AATAAGTGAGAAAATTTTGAATACAAAAAATCTAAAACTTGGAAAATAAATAAAATCTGTTGAAATGTCTGAAGTATGAAATGTAAGTTTTTATTGCAGATTTTATTAGAATTATCGAGCAAAACTGACTCCTCCATTTTCTTTTTAAACACTAGTTCAAGTTTATTAAGCTCAAGGGATGAAGTGCATCAGCATGGATATAGTGGAAATTTTATGGAAACGATCAATAATTCTTCCGTTAAAGATTATTTGATTGGTATTTGCGCATAAAAACTACAATTGCTATATATTAATTATGTTTCATATTTTAATAGATTTGTTAATGAAATCCAATCAGCAAATACAAAATAACCGTGGTGGTCACAGTAGAACGAGAACAATGAAGGAAATTTACATATTTTTGTGGTATATGGCAAATATGAATACTTTTTGCGAATTTGGTATTTGTTTTGGCATACCAAGAGCTTCTGTATGGAGGATAATTGAAAGAACTAGTGTTTAGCTTATATCAATTGGACACTAATTTATTAAATACGCACTTGCTAATAATGCAAAAGTGGAAACTTCAAAAAAAATCCCGTTCGTAATTGGTTGCATAGACAGTACACATGTAAAAATAAATGCACCACACCATAGCAAATAGGTTTATTTCAAAAGAAAGCATGACTATAGCTTAATCTTGCAGATAGTTTGCGATGAAAATGGTTTTTTTATAAACGTTTATGTTGGAGAGCCTGGATCCTTATGTATTGTTCTGTTTTAATTAAATAAATGTATTCAACTTAATTTCATTTCATTTCAAATTAATTGATTTTAATAAATTATCAAACAACACTTTTTCAATAGTAATAAAACGTAAATAAATAAGGTAATAATTTTAATTATAGTAATAGTTAAAACATTATTTTAAACAAAGAAATAAATAATAACGACATATTAAATAAATAAGTCATAAAATAAATAATAAATAAATAAAATCAATAATAAATAAATATAAATGTAGATTTGTTTATAATTTTACTGCACCGTTGCATCGCATTGCCAACCTCATTTGCATTAAAATACGTTCCACTTTTATCTTTTACATACATTCCACATTGAAAGTGAACCAGATCAATTGCTGGTTCACCCCATTGTTTTTGTTTTGCATGTAAAATTGAGCGGATCATGTTTGCTGAAACACAGCTATTGACGTAGGTTTTCAATCACTTTACACCTCGTTTCAACAAATAAAAAAAAAATATATAGAACTTAAAATTTTTCCCATTTCAAAGTTAAAATGATGTTTGGGCGTAATCCTCATTAATGATAAAGGCATAAACACAGGTTTGCATTTGCATTAACTAATATTGAAAAAGTAACGTGGAGACGTTATTGCTCCTAGCACCGAAATTTATTTGTAATTATAGAAAAGTGACAAATTTTAAACAAAATACAAAGAAAAAGTGAAAAAGAAAACTCATCAGTTTTTTAAAAGAAAGAGGTCTTTGATGCCAAAATTCTCAAATATTTTTAAAAAATTAACTCAGCTTTTGCTTTAAACACACAATGCACAATAGCAACACAGCCAGGTTGCACAAATTTATTTAATTTGAACTAATCGTTTTCCAAGCAAGTTTTTTACAGCGGTTTTGCAAAAAGCGCATATCGGCATAAATTAGGTCATTTCGTCGTTCGCATGAATACCAACTGCAAATGCTGAATTTCCTTTTATTTTGTTACCGACAGTGCATTCACTTTGTGTGTTCAGCTAAAGTAATATTTAGCTGAAAATTTGCGAAGTTCTTACAGTTTGGTGGCGACTGATAGTCACCCCACAAACCTCTTTGCATATATCACAGAATTGCTAAGCTATTTTTGCCGTTCTAATATATTATATACACAAACCAATATTATTCATTCTTATTTGAACTAAAGAAACGTCTCGTACATCAATACACTATGTACACAAACCACATTACGTTTTAAAAGATATGTGTCGGTATACAAAATGTGTCGGCAAAGCAGGACTTTCGATTTATGTACACGAACCAATTTTTACATTTACGAATGAAAGTATCGGCTAAGACAGAAGTTTCGTTCAAAATCAGTTGAAATGAATCATGTGTCGGTTAAACAGGACGTTGTATTCGAAAACCAATTTTGTTAATATGAACGAAAGATGTTTTGGTTGAACAGAAATTTTCGTTCAAAATCACTAAACATGTATCATGTGTCGGTTAAACAGCACATTGTGTCCGCAAACCAATTTTGTTATTAACTTAAGATATTATTGGTTGAACAGGAATTTTCGTTCAAAATCAGTTGACATTTTCATGTGTCGATTAAACAGCACATTGTGTCCGCAAACCAATTTTGTTAATATGAACGAAAGATATTGTTGGTTGAAGAGAAATTTTCACTCAAAATCAGTAAACATGTATCATGCTAGTTTTTTTTTTAATGTGTGGACGAAAAATATCACTATTTTTTATCACTAGTTATCATCCATCAATTAATTGACAAATTAAAAGTGGCCACGTACAAATTTCATTAATAATAATCAGGGAATCAGAGAAGCATTGTTTATTTTATAATCAGTTTAATTTATATAATCTTGCGCTAGCGCTTGAAGTAAATGCCTCTACAACTGGAATAGGAGTTCTAAATATATTATACCAAGTTCTTCCACTAGGCAACTATATGTGAGAAATGAGAATCAAAAGTCTGCTCAAAAAATGTTCGGTTACTAATTTATTAAAAACTTTTAATCTAAAGATAATTAAATCTTTTAAATTGTGTATAAATATTTAAGACTTGTTTGACTAAGTTTAAAGCAGTACTACGATGAATATAAAATGCTATTTTTAATATCTGATTCATAAAAACTTAATTATTTAGCCAAAAATCATTATATATAACACATGACATAATAAAACACATTTGTTTTTCTAATGAAACAATTATTTTTCGAAAATGGATAATAAAATTTAGTTAAGAAAAATTAAATTCCTGAATTATTTATAACTTCTGAAGTAGAGCTGGCTTTTTCAAAAATATCTTATTTAAAAAAAGATAATTCATTCATTCTATATTCCAAGCTATTTAGAAAACTCTAAATTTATTTTTTTTTTTAATTATATTTTGTTTTCTATTGAATTTTCTAAAAATCAATTTTGAACTAATAATAAATTATAGCTGCTAATTGCTGTATTAGAAGAAAAAATAGATAATTAATTGTCCTTAGCCAAAGTTTCCAATTGTCCAATTTATTTCCGCGAGAAATCCATGTCTTCCTTAGAAATAATCCTGTGTCGTTCATCAAAAATTAATTTTTTTGCATTGTAAGACTTAAACCCGTTCCAACCACATCCTAAGCACGAGTTGGAAAGATTAAAAAGATTCAGACTGAAATGACATTCCAGTCATTAGGTAGGGAAACATAAGAAATTAAGTTTTTTATTTAAAATATTCCTATCTTACTAAAAACATAAACTAAACGTCGGAAAATAGTTGAATTAAAAATGATTGTTTAAACAATACTCCAATGTTCAGAAATATCTGAAATAAATAAAAATTAGTTTAAATAAATTAATTATCAAAAAAAATTACTAACAGGTTTGCACGCCATCTGGTATTAAATTCAAACAACAACAACAGTTCATTAAAATGCCACTGCAAGAACAGAACTTACAGTTTGAGAGCTATTAAGCAGTGTGAAAAATTACTTAAAAAATTTTTAGTTACCCTAGAATTATATTTTTATTTTTATCTTATAGATGTTTATATATTTATCTTATATATTTAAGATATAATTAAAATAAAAAAAAAATTTATTTTTAAATTAGTAAAACATAACATTATATTCCTTGATCGTATTTGAAATTTATATAATTAATTAAAAAATGCATTAACTTGGGCATGCATAAGAGTCAGAATCACATTGAAGTGATTCTTTACATTTAAGATTTTGTTAAAACTAAAAGTAATTTTCAAAAACTATAAATATTTTTAAATATTAAATTCCTTGCTTGACGTTTTTTCCTACGTTTCGGTAAATTTTTAAATTTCTCTTGTTAGCATTTAGGACGTGCGCGAGTTAGGCTAAGTTGCGTTCTAAATGAGGGATATTCTAAGTTGTGTCGATAATGTAGTGATACTTAGCTTATTTTCGAGGTGGCTAAGTTGAGACTAAATCGCCAGGGCTGTCATTTTAGTATTTTCATAAGATAATATTTTTATATGTGAATTTAAATGAATATATGAATATAGAAATTTTCAATAAAAAATAATTTTATTAAAACGTTTTGTTTTATTTGTATTAAAAAAAAAATTAATCATCATTATTAGAAAACTTTTAACCGAAAACTTGATCATATGCATCATTATTTAATGACCATTTGCAATAAAATGGATGCGGTACTAATATTGAATATTGAATTTCAATTTATTAGGTGTAGCTTGCCTAACAGTTTCAGGCAATGTTGGAGGAACGCGTTCTAAACTATAACTCCTTTCTATTAGTTTCAGTAAGGAATAATTGACGTATAAATTCACTCACCTATTGTTGTTTTTATTAAAAATATTGTATTTGATGTTTCTGAAATTAGATTCAATTGGTCCATTACTTGCTATTGTATGTCAATGATATTAATATGGTCATAAAAATGATAGGTAATACAGCAATTCTCCTTCTAGGAGAAATGGCACAATCAGAACTCGAAATGTAGTTTATTTTGAAATAAAATGGTTCATTTAATAAATTGTTTATTGTTAAATTCTTTTGCAGAAACAAAATTGCTAAACAGACATTTTTCTACTGAGTATACGAATACGCACCTTTCTTTGTTTTACTAGTATAATCCATCAGATGAATATATTCATTTAGTGACTGTTAATAAATTGTAAACATTGTTAAATGTAATTTTTCTCATATGTATATATAATTCTATAAATCTTTTTTATTTATATATTACGTATTTAAAAACTATTAACCATTACTTCATATAAATGTCCTATCTAAAACTTATGTTCTCATATGAAAAATATCTTTAACTTATTCGTACCACTTACATTAAATCATTGAATCACATTACTTACTTACTTACTTACTTACTTACTGGCGTCCTTCACTACTAGTGGAGCATTGAGCCTCAATGATTTAACTAAATCTTACTCTGTTGCTTGCTTCTCTTGCAATTTCATTCCATGAATACTGTGTGTCTTAAAGCTCTTGGTACACGGTTTTTCGCCATGTCTTAGCTGAGACTTCAGACCGGCGGCTACCTTATGAATTCCAACGTAGGGCTAATTTTATTATACAAGATGCTGTTTTCCTAAGCGTTTGGTCAATCCACTTCTATTTTCTTGTTCTCATTTTAGTGATAGCTTGTATTTGTCGCGTGCGTTCCCATAGATCGGTATTGGATATGCACTCCGAACGCCAAATATTCAGTATTCTTCTTAAGCATTTGTTTATGAATACTTGGACACGCGATTGAATAGAATCCGTATTTATCCACGTTTCGCATCCGTAAAACGTTGATTTGACCCTCAAATTAAATATTCGAAGCTTAGTATGGGTACTTATTTGGTTGGACGTCCACACATTGTATAACTGCCAAAATGCTGGTTTGGCTTGCATACTTCTTGCATACCTCAAAAATCTTTATAAAGTGCTCTTAAAGCTTCTTCTTCGAAAATCAAACTAATTACAAAATAGGTGTGATCTATAATATCAGCATCGCTGCGTTGTGTCCGTGAATACTATGTTTATACTTGAATATGTAATTTGAGGGAGATATAGCTGCTTGACCATATGATATCGTCTGATTTTGTTTGTGTTATGAAAATTTGCATTCTGTTTGTTAATTTCACAATTTCCTGAAGTACAGCAACAAAGCTTATTTGTATATTATATTAGTAAATTATTTGTTTGATATATAGAACTGAGAAAATTGTTAAAGGTTTTTTTTCCAAAATAGGTATATAAGCACAGAACAAATATATTTTACTTGTGAAATTAATTTATATATTAGAGATAAAATAGTAAAAAATAAAATACTTTTCCAAGCAAGACAATTTCTTTAACTAATTTCTGACCCATGGTACATTAAATGTATGGTACCATGGTACCAATATTTCGAATTGGTTTATATATGTACACACATATTGTTATGAATTTGCCTTTTGCAATTCCATCTTGATTGTCTTATTCGTCTCACTGGATTGTCAATAACTGAATAAATGCCAAAAATAACCACGTCAGTTTAATTGTTGATAACTGAATAATCTTTACTTACTCTAACGCTGTTGTCGAAATCGTACTCGAGAATCTCCAAACTCAATCTATCCAACTAACAAAACTAAACTACTTTTTCTGACAGAAATATCTGACGATATTCCTGTCGATTTTCCTGTGTTGCTACGATTTGATATTTCCCAAACCAAATTCTTCCCAATATGTACATTCATATATTTTGCTTCTATATCATATAAATATTATATTAATTTCAAATTTGATCTGTGTTTACTATACATACGTACAGTCGGAGTCATAAGTCTACAAGCAGGCAGTACAAAAAACTTTGAAAATTTTTCCAAAAAAATCAATTTATTGGAAACATATTTTATTGTTTTTTTATAACATTCAATGCACAATGTTTTACAAAAATTACAAAAAAGAGAATAGATCATGTATGTTATATATTAAAAATAAAAGAACACATTTTCAATGTTAGAAGTAATGACAACTCCACTTCCAGTAACAGCTTGATTCCTTACGAATAAGGAAAAGCGCTAACTCACGAGCAAGAATTCAAACTCAAGTGATAAATCCTTACGCAAAGGCTCAATATTTAACAAAGACCAAACTATTAGAGTAACTTCCAAGACCGTATTATTACTTAAGCCCGTATTATACAAAACTCGCCCGAAAGTAAAATGCTTTCGATTTAGACCAAACACATAGGCCGTATTGTCATAAACAGCAAAAATAATAAATACAATAAGATGGCGCAAGTCGCTCTCGAATTTTCGGAGCATTTACGAGGTGGACTGTTAAGTGTCTCGCAACAAAAATTTCCTATAGCCAACCAATGCAATCCACATTCTTGATAATATAGATTTTGTTAGTGTAACATAAACAGAAATGTATACATGCATTTGGTAGTTGTTGATTTTATGGCTGCTTCACTAGGCCATAGTAGCAACAAGAACACTAAATACAAGAGGACTTTTCAACTGAGCTTTTGAAAAATTTGTCTCCAAAAACATTAGGCCGATCAAAAGGAACGGTTTGTGTTTGTCCTCTATTTTTGCTTTTGCTTGTAAGTTTGATATAAAATGTATATTATCAATGATTAATTGATAATGATTTATTTAATTAATACTTAATCATGAGAGTTGTTTTTTTTAAGGTTTAATTTTTAACATTTTTCGATTTGTGTTATTTCAACATATAAATTTATTGTTAGAAATGTCACCTTATAAGCGTATTTGTTGTATAACTTCTTGTAGAAATAGAACACAGAAAGCCCTGAAGTTATTTAATTTTCCAAAACAAGGCACAAAAAAGTATGAATAGTGGATAAGTGCATGTCATTGGTCATATGATCATATTATGTCTCTAAAAAAACCATTAATATATGAACTGCATTTTCAAAAAGAAGTAATTGGAAAAAAAAATCCTTTTTTGTCATGCTATTCCCTCCTTGGAACTGGATGAAACCCACAATTCCATAACGGACGAAGAATTATATCAGTACGACAAAGAACCGTTATGTGTTAGTGCAGCAATTGAGCCCGTTTGCAGATCTTGCCATAAACGTGAGAAAAATTTAAATTATTATAGAAAACAAAACCGTGATTTAAAAAAAAAATTGAAAAATTAAGAAGAAAGATTGAGAATTCAAAGAAAAAAGACAAAAAATTAAATTTTCCTCAACTAATTCAATACGTCTATCAAATGATAGATTTTATATCATACGCTTCAGCTTATGCAAAAAATTTTTGTAAAATGATTTTAAAAAGCAAGAAAAAGGTGTACAGTGATGTCGAAAAATACGTGGCGCAATTAATTTTTTTCAAATCTGCTGCTACCTATAATTTTATGAGGGATACGTTAAGATTTGCTTTGCCTTCTTTAAGATCCATTTACAATTGGCTTCCAATTGCTGGTTTACCTCCGGGAGTAAATGAGGAAGTATTTAGAAATATAAAAAAAAGTATTAATGCAGGTAATTTTGTAATTTTGACTCCAAATCTCGACAAGTAATGTTAATATTTGATGAAATCGCTATTAAAAGAGATTTTAAATATAATGCTAAGTTCGAAAAAATTGATGGATTTGTTGATTATGGAAAAAATTCCAAGAGTGCTACAATTGGAAAAAATATTTGCATATTTATGATAAGAAGTCTATGTGGTCATTGAAAACAAGTGTTGAACTATTCTGTATCTGAAAAATGTATTCCCGTTAATACATTGAAAATAATGATATATAAAAATTTTGAAGGTTGCCTTTCTGCTGGACTAAATGTGAGAGGATTAGTTTGTAATCAAACCCCAACAAACCAAGCCCTTTATAGAAAACTCGGTATTTCTAAAAATAATCCCTTCTTTATTTTTGAAGCTGGGAATGATAAAAAAAAATATTTTGTTTCTTTGATATCTCTCACATATTTAAATCGTTTCGTAATAATTTATTGAAATATCGTTTAAAAGATGGTGGTGACAATTGTGCCAATTGGAAAGTTTTGAGAGAGCTGTACCTATTCGAGTGTGTCCAAGACCAAGGTTTAGGCATATAGCCCCGGACCTTCAAAAAATGAAGGTGAACTTAGCTGTTCAAGTGTTCAGCGCCAGAACAGTTGCCGGCATTCGCACTTACTTAAAATTAAATTTATTTAATAAAAATAATTTGACCTCTGACGCAGAAGGAACTGCATATATTTTTGATAAATTCAATAAAATATTTGATTGCCTAAATAGTAAATCATTGCATTCTGCCAACCCCTACCGAAAGGCATCACAAAAAGAATGTGTAGTGTATAAAGTCTTACAAGACGCAAAGAATTATATTGAAAATTTAAAATTTATCAACACTCCTCGTAAAACAAAACTCAATTGCTTAAATTATTTAATTCAAAGCATAAATGCAGCTTTAAATTTCTCTGACGAAATATGGTATTTAATGAATTTAAAGATTGGTCTTATTTATGCACTAATAAATTGAATCAGGACTGCATTGAAATTTTGTTTAGTAGGGTGAGGTACAAACAGAAAAATCCATCAGTTAATGAATTCTACTTTATTATTGGAAGAATAATTTCTGTTAATTTAATATATGGTTCCAAATATCAAATACTCTAATTGTGAAGAAGATGATGACGAAATACTTTGCATTGATTGAACTTCAATTTCTGTGGGCCATAAAAATTCGATGGAAGTGAATGCTGGAAGTTTCCATGAAGAAGAGATTGAGGATGAAGCAGATAATGAAGCAGAAAATGGTTCGGAAGAAATAAATTCAATTATAGAAATCAATTCCGAATATGGTTTGTTGCCTGTACTTACTGATAATGCAATTAAATATTTTGCAAAACTTTTTTAGAAAAACTACGCTGAAAAATTGCGAAATTTGCAGAAGAGATTGTATCAAATCGGATAATGTAATTAATGCGCCTTCTGATTGGCTTCTATACTTCAGAAATTATGGAGGCGATGGTAATTCTTCCTCGCTTTTTGCTCCTTCAAATTTTTTTTACGAATGGTTTAAGCAGCACCTAAAAACGTTGGACAAACAATTTGATACCAACTGACAATGTATAACATAGATATGAAACGCCCTTGTTAGAAATTGTTCTAAAAGCTTTGATTTAAAACGAGCTGATGACCGTCTGATATTCAGCAACAATGTTGCTCAGGGCAATATTGCTTGAAATAATGTTGCTAAACATATGCATATTATATTTACTAATGGAAATTGTTGGTAATTTTGGACACAAATTCAAGAAAAGAAATGTTTACTTATTTTGGCTGCAAGAGGCTAAGTGACTGAATGACATTTTTATAAGTAACATAATCGTATTAAAATAATTTTTCTATTATGTTAAATAAATTTATATTTATAAATTATATTTCTTACACTAACATCTATCTTAACTATATATTCTTACAACAAAAAATTAATTTACAAAAGTTGAAAATAAAGTTGAATAATAAATAATAGGGATATATGGTATATGAATCTTACTTAATAAACACAACAGGTATTCACAACACAGGTATCCGTTATTGGTGCAATATTCGCAGTCTTTCCTTCCGAATGCTTTTATTTGTTTCTTGGCGAAACTCTTCAATTTTGCATTTGTAAGCGGCTCGGATTAATACCATAAGAAAATGTTTTGACAAAAGTAATCTGTGTTCATAACATGAATGTTCTGAATTGTACCAATATGGATCATCAAGAACACAAAAATTTATTATCAACTGTAAGATTCCGTCTCTATAACAGTTGGTATCATATGCATATAATTTCTGAAGTATAGAAGCCAATCAGAAGGCGCATTAATTACATTATCCGATTTGATACAATCTCTTCTGCAAATTTGCACTTTTTCAGCGTAGTTTTTCTAAAAAACTTATGCAAAATATTTAATTGCATTATCAGTAAGTACAGGCAACAAACCATATTCGGAATTGATTTCTATAATTGAATTTATTTCTTCCGAACCATTTTCTGCTTCATTATCTGCTTCATCCTCAATCTCTTCTTCATTGAAAGTTCCAGCATTCACTTCCATCGATTTTTTATGGACCACAGAAATTGAAGTTCAATCAATGCAAAGTATTTCGTCATCATCTTCTTCACAATTAGAGTATTTGATATTTGGAACCATATATTAAATTAACAGAAATTATTCTTCCAATAATAAAGTAGAATTCATTAACTGATGGATTTTTCTGTTTGTACCTCACCCTACTAAACAAAATTTCAATGCAGTCCTGATTCAATTTATTAGTGCATAAATAAGACCAATCTTTAAATTCATTAAATACCATATTTCGTCAGAGAAATTTAAAGCTGCATTTATGCTTTGAATTAAATAATTTAAGCAATTGAGTTTTGTTTTACGAGGAGTGTTGATAAATTTTAAATTTTCAATATAATTCTTTGCGTCTTGTAAGACTTTATACACTACACATTCTTTTTGTGATGCCTTTCGGTAGGGGTTGGCAGAATGCAATGATTTACTATTTAGGCAATCAAATATTTTATTGAATTTATCAAAAATATATGCAGTTCCTTCTGCGTCAGAGGTCAAATTATTTTTATTAAATAAATTTAA